ATTAAATACAGATGTCCAAATCAGGCCTATTACAATTTGGCCCCATTTCACCTTTAGCACTGTCTTTCACTGCCTTTGTACACATTTTATCTGAAGCAGAAATGCCCTTCCCGCATCTAAAATACCCTTTCCTCATTTTTTTCTCCAAATTTTACCCATCTCTTAAGTGTCTTTAAAATTTATTCCTCTCCACAAAGCTTGTCCCAAACTCCTCAGCAAAGAAGTTAGCTCTTATGTCTTGTAGCACTTAACATATTTTTGTCTTACATAATAGATCTCTGCATATCATTTCTACAAAATTGTAAGTTTCTAAATATTAGCAGATGTCTTGTTCACTTACCATTCTCAGTATGTAAAACAGCCATGTATGTGTAAGGGAAAGAGTTGAGATAAACCAGGGTTTGTCAGATAACATGCTTTGTCAAATAACATGCATGGCAAGGTATTTTGATATCTGAACCAATATCCTGATCTTCAAGATATGGGAAATCCCACTTACCTTGCAGAGGTAAAAGACTGAAGGAATAGTGTGTGGCACACAGTACACATTTATTATGTGTTCATCTCTCTTTTTTTTTTTTTTTTTGAGTCGGAGTTTCTATCACCCAGGCTGGAGTGCAGTGGCATGCTCACGGCCACCGCAGCCTCGACCTGCTGGGCTCAGGTGATCGTTCCACCTCAGCCTTCCAAGTAGCTGGAACTACAGGCACACACCACCACACCCAGCTAATTTTTTTATTTATTGTAGAGAGGAGGTCTCGCCAAGTTGCCCAGGTGGTCTCGAACCCATGGGCTCAGGCAATCCTCTCACCTCAGCCTCCCAAAGTGCTGGGATTATAAGCGTGGGCCACTGCGCCCGGCTTTTCTTCTCATCCTTTTCCACAGTTCCTGCCAGAGTACCTTGAAAACAAACTGAAGTAGTGATAAAGTTTTATAGAACCAAAAAGCATGATAACTTAAACTAAATGTTACAGGGGTTTAAAAAAGAAGATGGGCGCAGTGGCTCACACCTGTAATCCCAGCACTTTAGGAGGCGGAGGTGAGAGGATTACCTGAGCTCAGGGGTCCAAAACTAGCCTGAGCAACATGGCGAGACCTCGTCTACAGTAAAAAAAAAAAATCCACATCTTTAAAAATAAAACAAAAAATCAGCCAGGCATAGTGGCACAAGCCTATGGTTGCAGCTACTTGGAAGATGGAGGCGGAAGGATCACTTGAGCCCAGCAAGTCAAGGCCGCGTTGTCTGTGAGTGTGCCACTGCACTCCAGCCTGGGCGACAGTGAGACTCCAACTCAAAAAATAAAGAATGGCTTTGAAAGAACATGATAAAGGTAGAATAGACGTGACTCAGGACTTGATAGGGAGAAAAATGGCAGAGATTTTGAGCTTAAGAATATGAAACTATTTAATAGAGCTAAAGAAAAACAAAGTAAGAGCTAGATTGGTGAAGGTGGTTAGGGTGATCCCAAGTTAATTGCCTCAGCCTACAGCATTTCCTCTTATAAATGGGAAGTCTACTGTTAAGGGTTGAACCTGGAGGGAAATGATTGTTCCATTTTAAGATCCCTTAAGAGGCCAGATGCAGTGGCTCAGCCTGTCATCCCATCACTTTGGGAGGCCAAGGCAAGAGGATTACCTGAGCCCAGGGGTTGAGACCAGCCTGGGCAACTTGGCGAGACCTCATCTCTACAATAATTACAGAAATTAGCCGAGCATGGGGCCGTGCATCTGTAGTTCCAACTACTTGGAAGGCTGGGGTAGAAGGATTGCCTCAGCCCAGGAGGTCGACACTGCAGTGGCTGTGAGCATGCCACTGCACTCCAGCCTGGGCAACAGAGTGAGAATCCAGCTTAAAAAAAAAAAAAAAAAGTCTCTTAAGCTTCTTAATAACTATCACTCAGTAAACTTTCCATCTGTACTGTTTTGATTGCCACCGAAAAATAGCATTTATCTGTTCTTATTAAAGATTTTAATAGAAAAGTCAGTATCACATCACCATGGACAGTTTTGTGTACTTTGATTCCAAATGAAGTGAAGTTTTGAAAACCTCTGTAGTTAACCTTTTGACCTTGTGGACTTCAGAGTCAAATGTAACTAAGTTATGTATTTTAAAACAACTCATAAGTAATTGAGAGATACTATATATAATAGAGATACATTTGGAATTAGGTCCTTTCTAAAATGTTTCTCACAGCTATCACCTTGAGCACATAATTTTTTTTTTTTTTTTTTTGAGTCAGAGTCTCGCTGTCACCCGGGCTGGAGTGCAGTGACACGTTCACAGCCACCACAGCCTCAACCTGCTGAGCTCAGACAATCCTTCCACCTCAGCCTTCCAAGTAGCTGGAATTACAGGCAAGTGCCACTACGCCTAGCTAATTTTTTTTGATATATTGTAGAGATGAGGTCTCCCCAAGTTGCTCAGGCTGGTCTCAAACCCCCCAGGTTCAGGCAGTCCTCTCGCCTCCACCTCCCAAAGTGCTGGGATTACAGGTGTGAGCCACCACACCCAGCTGAGTACATTTTTTTTTTTTTTTGAGTTGGAATCTCACTCTGTCGCCCAGACTGGAGTGCAGTGGCTGCTCCCGGCCACCGCAGCCTCGACCTGCTGGGCTCCGGCGATCCTTCCGCCTCAGCCTTCCGAGTAGCTGGAATTATAGGCATGCGCTACCACACCCATCTGATTTTTTGATTTATTGTAGAGATGAGGTCTCGCTGCCCAGGCGGGTCTCGAACCCGCGGGCTCAGGCAATCCACTCACCTCAGCCTCCCAAAGGCGCGGGATTACAGGCTGAGCCATCGAGCCCGACTACATGATATTTTTAAGCAAATATTTATGGATCTACACACTGGTACCAAAATCACGCTTAGGTTGAAGATATCCAATACTATTTAAGTATTTATGGAGCTTTTAATTTCAAAGTCAGATATGTTTTGTGAAAAAACTAAAGCAATGTAGACGTGTAGAGAGCAGTGTTCTCTCCTGCTCATTTCCCAACCCCATTTAGTGTATATCTTTTGAGACATTTTTCTGTGCATGTTGAGCTGACGACCCAAGATCAGACTGTCAAATCAGACTCATATGAGTCAATAATAATGCCAGTATCAAGGCTTACTAATTATTTCAAAGATACAGGTAATCAAGAGGCGTAAGTAAAGCAGAGGGAGATCAAATACATGGAAGATGGCTCCTCAGACCATGTTTTCCCACACTGGACGTGTGTCTCTGGCCCAGAACAGGAGATGAGGTGTCTAACTGAGCTTCACAGAATCGCCTCATACAGTGGGAATATTTAAATTGTTGATCGTCTCCATGTTTGAGACCAGGGGTTGGCTGGTCATAGGGCTTGTGTGCTGTGCTTCAGGGAGATATGCTTCATAGATACTGCGTTTATTTACTGTCAGCAAACCTTGGCGGAAGGGCATTTTAGAGTAGAGATCTTTTCCCCCAGCAGATGTCATTTGGCCCTTTAGTCAGAGGCCCAGGTGTCACTTGCCTTCTCCCTCTTCCACAGGAAGGGAAGTGGGTGGATTGGAGGCCAACTACATTAATTTCTTCCTTACAGTAAATACATAAGTAGATGTTTCACTTGCAGTTGCTTATGTTGGGTTGTTTATACTGCAGTTGAGTTTTATGATTAATAGGTCAATTGGTTGAGAGACCGAGGGTTCTGCATATTGTTTTTTCCCCTTAATATATCATGGACATTTCTCCAGGACATACATATGGTTCTAACTCATTCATTTAAACGGCTGCATAAAAAGTTCAATTGCCATGTTATGTGATTAGTATTCTATTTATGAACTGGTAAACTATGAAATAAACTTCAGCTTTTAGGAACATCATATTGAAGTGTAGACCTTAAATGTATATGAAGTAATTTTGATATAATTTATTATGGTGAGAAACAATTTTAGCCAAACTTGTAGAAGTTAATATGTAACTAAAACTGTAGCTTTAAAGGACTCGTCTAAGCCTCATTTAGTGAAACCATTTGTATGGTCGTCTTTGTTCCAACTGTAGAAGGTTACCTACCATGAGTAAAGATGGTTTGTGGTTCCTCGGTGTGATTCTCAGATGACGTTAGTGGTGTACCTAAAATCAGCGCCCATCTTAAAACAGACTGCATTTCTTGAGGTTGTTGGCTTTAAAACAAGAAATTTTTAGCCTAGCCTTTCAGTACTGGTGCCCCAGTAACTTCTCCTTCAGAATGGTATTTTCTAGACTAAATGAAAATGTCATCATGTTAAATATTAGAGTCAAACCAAATGTTTTAGTATTAGAATTGCCATTCTAATGAGCAAAAAACTATTGCTGTAGCCTTGCAAATACTTAGGAGATTAAGATTTTCGGTGGTGTATGAAAGGATACTAGTTAAAGATTGAAAATATAGCCAGGCTTGGTGGCTCAGCCTGTAATCCCATGCTTTGGGAGTCCGAGGTGAGTGAATTGCCTGAGCTCGCAGGTTCGAGACTGCCTGGACAACTTGGTGAGACCTCATCTCTACAATAAATCAAAAAAATTAGCCGGGTGTGGTAGCACGCGCCTGTAGTTCCAGCTCCTTGGAAGGCTGAGGCAGAAGCCTCGTCGGAGCCCAGCGGGTTGAGGCTGCGGTGGCCGTGAGCTTGTCACCGCATTCCAGCCTCCTCCAAAAAAAAAGAAAATATTACCTTAGCTGGGTATGGTGGTTCACGCCTGTAATCCCAGCACTTTGAGAGGCGGAGGCGAGAGGATTACCTGAGTCCAGGAATTCGAGACCAGCCTGGTCAACTTGGCAAGACCTTGTCTCTGCAATAAATCAAAAAATTAACCAGGTGTGGTGCCACGTGCCTGTGGTTTCAGCTGCTTGAAAGGGTGAGGCAGAAGGAACGCCTGAGCCCAGCAGATGGAGTCTGCGGTGGCTATGAGCGTGCCCCTGCACTCCAGCCTGGCCAACAGAGTGTTACTGCAACATAAAAAAAAAAAAAAGAAAATATAACTGTTAAGTGTTTAACATAATCTTTTCTTCCCTCCCTTTACTCATAGGTACCACGTTGAATGAACAAAGACACCTTTTTACTGCTACTTTTTGTAAAATATCTATGGAGTAGTATTATAGTCTGAGTAACAAAGGATCTCATCATGAGGTAGGTTGAAAATAGAGGGATTATGTTGTAAGTAGTTTTTAAATGTAGCAGGTAAACCTGATAGATGTCATCTTATTTAATTCTCATAAGAACGCTTTGAAGGAGATGGCTGTCCTTTAGATGGATGAGGAGACTGGCAAGAAGGGAAATAATTGCTAACTGACATTTGGGGAATTGGGGTTTAAACACAGGTCTTTCTTGCAAGCTGACTTCATTCACTTTCTTTTCTTCACGTCATTCTGTCTTCCTTCCACTAGATCCAGGAAGCCGCTGTATTCTTAGTTCATGTATAAATATGAGGGAGATATTAGGAAGCTTGAACAGGAAACTGTTAATATGAAGCAAGAGATGTTGTTTTGTTTTTTGTTTGTTTTTTTGAGTTGGAGTCTCACTCAGTCGCCCAGACTGGAGTGCAGTGGCTGCTCCCGGCCACTGCAGCCTCGACCTGCTGGGCTCCGGCGATCCTTGCGCCTCAGCCTTCCAAGTAGCCGGAATTACAGGCATGCGCTACCACGCCCGGCTGATTTTTTAAAGTTTATTTTAGAGATGAGGTCTCACTGCCCAGACGGGTCTCAAATCCGCGGGCTCAGGCAATCCACTCACCTCAGCCTCCCAAAGGCGCGGGATTACAGGCTGAGCCACCGAGCCTGGCAAGAGATATTGTTAGATGCCCAGTCTTCCCTTACAGTAGTCGGAGGTTATCAAGCACAGTATCCAGCAGTCTTACCCTTGACTTTGCTTTTTGTTTTTGTTTTTTGAGGCATGAGATTATAGAATGCTAGCACTAGAAGGCAAAATGTCTAACGGTCTTACTTCCTTGCTTTACGGATGAAACTGAGATCTAGAGGAAAGGTGATTCTCCTTAGCCAGTCCTGGGCATGACTACGCCTGCACATGGCATCTGATTGCCCTTTTAGATGGTGTGGCCACTCATTTGTATCATCTTTCCTGGGTAGCGCCCTGGTGAAAGAATAGTCTTTTGTACACTACTGCTTTCATATACTATATCCCAGAAGTCTTTTCCACTCTGCTTTTCTCATTCCCTCAGACCTGGATGAGTTGCTGGATCCCTTTAGTCTCTGGTGTCAGGGATATCAAAAGTGCTAGATACATCTACTTCCATGAACCATGAGGCCAGCTGTGCATTTTTAGAGAAACCATCTAGTTTTCCTCATTGATAATCATATCAAACTGCATTTTAGTTCATATGTGGTTGAGATTAAAGTACTCTAATTTTCAGTCATGTCTTGGCCTTGCATTGGGAGGACTTGGATCAAAGTCTCAGCTCCACCATTAATTGGTGGGCAGGTCACTTTTACCTCTCTGAGTGTGTGTCTTCAACTGGAAATGTAGGAGTCATACTCTCTGTCTTACCACATTTGTGACAATTAAGTGAAATCAAATATATGGGTGTGACTCATATATTGTCAGTCTTCTGAGCCCAGAGACCTGAGGTAAAAAGAGGCAGTCAGAGGGCTCCTTGATAACTCGAGTTGCTTTGAAATCTTTAATTTCAAAGGATTATAAAGTACTACCCAATTTAGAGAATACAGAAAATAAAAATAATTCATAATTGAAGGTTAGTTTTCTATTTTCCTACATTGAAATTTTAGCTGTTTTTATGTGGTTGGCTTTACATTTATTCAAAGATTATTTTCTGTTTGGATTGAACAGATAGGAGTTTTTTGTTTGTTTGTTTGTTTTTGAGTTGGAGTCTCACTCTGTCACCCAGACTGGAGTGCCAGTGGCACGCTCCTGGCCTCCCAGCCTCCGCAGCCTCGACCTGCTGGGCTCCGGCAATCCTTCCGCCTCAGCTTTCCAAGTAGCTGGAACTACAGGCAGACACTACCAGGCCTGGCTAATTTTTTATTTATTGTAGAGATGAGATCTCACTAAGTTGCCCGGGCGGGACTCGAACCCACGGACTCAGGCAATCCACTTGCCTTGACCCCTCAAAGTGCTGGGATTACAGGCTGAGCCACTGAGCCTGGCTCAGATAGGAGTTTATTCATTCTCTCACTTAAAATAGGTTAGAGTTAGGCAGTGTAGGGCTGTTAGGACAATTCCTTGAGATCATCCAAGAGTACCTGGGCATTTTCTGTCTTTTGGCTCTGAGGCTCTGCTCTGACTTCCTTTCCCATGTGCTCTGATGGCTGTTTCCACTGTTGCCATGGCATCTTCATTCCAGCAGGAGGAGGGAGGAGCCCTTCTGGGATTCAACACAGCACTTCAGCTTTCTTCTTATTGACCCAAGTTTATTGGCATGGCCATATCTTGCTTTAAAAATGGCCAGAAAATGTCATCTCTTTTTTTTTTTTTTTTGAGTTGGAGTCTCACTCGGTCGACCAGACTGGAGTGCAGTGGCCACTTCCGGCCACCGCAGCCTCGCCTGCTGGGCTTCAGCGATCCTTCCGCCTCAGCCTTCCGAGTAGCCGGAATTATAGGCATATGTTACCACGCCCGGTCGATTTTTTTGATTTATTGTAGAGATGAGGTCTCACCTGCCCAGGTGGGTCTCGAACCCACGGGTTCAGGCAGTCCACTCACCTCAGCCTTCCAAAGGCGCGGGATTACAGGCTGAGCCACCGAGCCCAGCAAAATGGCATCTCTTAACTAGACACCTTTCCTAAGGTTTGTTACTAAGGAAGAATAAAAAATATGTTGAGAGGCAGCTGGTAGTTTCTGTTGCAAACAAGAACATAAAAATTATTGTGTTCTAACTCATAGGATTATCTCTACTAAATTTAAAATCAAGTGAAGCTCTATTTGTAAACTTTTAGATCACACCAAAAATGTTAAAACTCATGAGTGATCTTTTTAAATTCAAAGGCAAATAAATTTGGGACACTTTATTCTTTCTCTCTATCTCTCTGTTTGAGTTGGTCATACTCTGTTACCCAGGCTGGAATACAGTGCCACAATCAAGATTCACTACAGGCTTGACCTCCTGGGCTCAGGTGATCCTTCTACCTCATCCTCCTGAATGGCTGGGACTACAGGATGAACCAACACACCTCGCTGATTTTTTTTTTGATGTTTTTTAGAGATAAGATCTCGCTATGTGCCCAGGCTGGTCTTGAACTCCTGGCCTCAAGCAGTCTTCCTGGCTTATACCCCTAAAGTGATGGGATTACAGGCATGAGCCACTGCGCCCCGGTCTGGGATGCTTTATTCTTTTTGGTTTTTTTTTTTTGAGTTGGAGTCTCACTTTGTCACCCAGGCTGGAGTGCAGTGGTACGCTCACAGCCACTGCAGCCTCGACCTGCTGGGCTCAGGTGATCCTTCCACCTCAGCCTTCCAAGGAGCTGGAACCACAAGTGTGCACCACCGCACCCATCTGATTTTTTTATTTACTGTAGAGATGAGGTCTCATCATGTTGCTCAGGCTGGTATCAAACCCCTGAGCTCAGGTAATCCGCCCCCACTTCCCAATGTGCTGGGATTACAGGTGTGAGCCACCACACCCAGCCATACTTTATTCTTTTTTTTTTTTGAGTTGGAGTCTCACTCTGTCGCCCAGACTGGAGTGCAGTGGCCGCTCCCGGCCACCGCAGCCTCGACCTGCTGGGTTCCGGCGATCCTTCCTCCTCAGCTTTCCAAGTAGCCAGAATTACAGGCGCGCGCTACCATGCCCAGCTAATTTTTGATTTATTGTAGAGAGGAGGTCTCGCCTGCCCGGGTGGGTCTC